TTTACATCTCTTTAAAAGGACTTGCTCTGTAACAGCTGTGATACTTAAGAATGTAATATCAAAGTTCCTTTCTTTCACTAGTCGTGGTTCCACCAAGTCAGTCATTTTCAACGAAACAAAAACCAATGAGTAAAGGTTCAGTTAACCATCCGAAGTGTTACAAAGATTACATTAACTAGGTGCTCAGGTAAATCGAACACCAATTGTACCGATTTTTTCAGTTTTTGGTTATATATCAGAAAAGAATAAGAACAAGAACAAAGGAAAAGGATAGATTATTAAAAAATAATACATTTCATTTAAAATGTTACCTTAAAGGGAAACACAAACAATGGATAAAATAGTTGCTATATCCCTGTCACACTGAAGCAGCACAGTAATATTGGTGTTTAATACATATTTCACTACGCCAATATTTACGTGCTGCTAGAGTGGAACAAGTATGTCAGTTCATCCAAACATAAAATGAACATCTGATGATGAAAACATAGTTTTGAATGAATTTCCTTAAATTTCTAGAGCAGCAAATAATGATTCGCATCTTGACTGTAGTATGTAAACCATGATGTGCTGCTACAGTACTTTAAGGCCTCAAAAATACAGGATTCATCCAACCTAACTTTATAGAAAAAAAAGTAACAAGAATAAGATAATCTTGGAAGTCTTTAATAAACTTACCTGTAAAATTAAAAATCTATTATGGTCTAAGTCAATTCCATGGCTTCGAAGAAGATTTCCAACATCCTTAAATGTCTTTTTCTTTCCACTTATGTGATAGACAGAAGTATTATCTCTGTAGGCCGTTCTGGATACATAGAAATTACTGTTCGGAATGACTTCATAATCATCCCCTTCCTGTTTTGAGGAAAAACAAAACCAGAAAACAATTGTTGGTATTAAGTCATAGGCCTACTTCAAAATTCACTCATTTCATACTGAAACTAATTCTATGGATTAAAAACTTCAATTGAACACACACACAAACTGCCAGAAGTTCTCAATAATAACTCGGCTTAGCAAAGAATTGATAGTTTTCCATGCTGCTTGGTCTCTTTCTCAAAGATCACGAAAACCAAGAAGCCAAACCAACCAGCCAACGAAAAAACCCACCTCCAAACAAGCCTAAAAACATTAATGATTCAGAAGAGGTAGACAAGATTCCTACCATATTCAAAACTCACACAAATTATTAACATGTTGACAGATTTAAAAAGCTGCAGCTTTTAAAAATGATGATTCAAAGAAAAAGGAAGGAAGGTAGTAACGGGGTGATACAGTTTAGTTTTTTTGTGTGGGAGGGTAAAGAGTGTGCCATTAATTTAAAGTAAAAAGCATCACAAAATAACAACTAAATTCCCTAGGTTTTCTTTTAAACAAACAAGATGTAAAAAAAAAAATCAATTGCAAATCTACTTTAACACTCACTTTCCCTTACCCTTAAAAGTTCTGTCATACTGAAGCAATGGCTTCTAAAATTTAGATAAATCAAATGTAATTAATAGGCAATGGAATAAAATCTGATTTACCGGCAATCTATTTTCCAACTCAACTTGTACAATAGAAAGCACAAAAGAAACCAAATTAAAATAGATGATTCTGTGTAATTAAAGCACTTTGTACTTTTTTTAAAAAAAAGGAAAACAAAATTCAAAAGCCAAATCACCTCCCAATTTCATTATGTAATTAGTTTTCTATATTTTTAGGTTCCATCGAGTCATTTTTGAACAATTAATTTCCTACATTAATTATTAAACAGAAGCAAAAGTATCAACAGGTAAATAATCTAGACATTTTACCTGTAATTGTCTCTATTTCTAGAAAACAAACATTAGCTTGCCCTTCCCCCATTTCAAAAGGACTTAATCACAGCAGTAGTCAAACTGAAGCAAAGCTCCTTCATATTATAGATACTCAGGGGCCACTAACATTAAAGTTAAAATGCATTGAAATAATAAAGATGGTAAAACCAGCCAATTGCCATATTTTCAAGTTTAGCTAATTTATTCTAAAGCAACCAAAATATAACTTTAAAAATGAACCCAATATTTACAGTAAAATAATGCCTATTTAGTACTCGGGATCCTAAAACTGCTCAATGTTTTTATTCCAAAAAGGATTACTACGAACTATTTGTAATTCATTTCTTTAGCTAAAAATTTAATATTTTAAAAGGCACCACCACCACTCCCCCAAAATAAAACATGGTCAGAGGTAATGAAACCAATACTTTCTGCTATAATTGCATACAAATTTCTTAAAGTCAAAAATAATAAAATATGCAATGCATTTAAGTCCATTTGCCTTGCTTAAACTTGTCAATAACTAAACAGTAAAAATCCCTTACCTTATCAATTATCTTTTGAAAATGAACTTCTACGGTACAACTCTGAATGTCCTTGTGTTCATCAGAATTATGTATTAATACTGAGAGTTTTTTAGATCTTATTTTTTGTGCTCGATAGCCAAACACAAAAAGCATAGAATCAATAACATTGGATTTGCCACTGCCATTTGGCCCGATAATACAGGAAAAGCGCTGCATTAAAAAAACAAAAACAAAACAAGTAAAAGTTCATAAGGTCAAGCTAATACTACTGATTTTAACTTAAACCGTTCAGTTTTTTTACTTTACTTGCAGTTAAAAACTGCAAGTATTTAAAAGTTTTTATTGCTAATCACGAACATACAACTTGAGTTTTCTTACATCAAGTTCTCCTCTCTTAAAAGTTTCAACATTTAATAAGAATGCTCTAATTCTAACGCAAACGTTTTAGAAAACTCATTTTATAGTTAAATTATCTAAGGGTTCCAACGAAAGCTTTAAGAAAAAAAATTATCTAAGGGAAAATACTATTTCAAACAAAAACACCGACTCCATTCAATGGAAAACTTTACAGCTAGAGGTACCAAAGATAACCAGATAAACAAAAGATAATTTAAGTGTTAAAATCATATGAAACGTGTGTGCGTGTGCGAGAGAGAGAGAGAGAGAGAGAAAGAGAGAAAGAGAGAAAGAGAGAAAGAGAGAAAGAGAGAGAGAGAGAGAGAGAGAGAGAGAGAGAAAGAGAGAAAGAGAGAAAGAGAGAAAGAGAAAGAATGGCTATCAGGATAAACAGGGAGTGAGTGAATTTTAGTTTAGTTACAAAACTGAAACATCTTGTAAAGACGTTATTACAATAGTTATTTAAAAGTTATAAAATAGTTATTTCCATACAAATACCTTATGGAAAGGTCCCAGAATTTTCTCCCCAGCATACGATTTGAAGTTCTGGTTTACAATATGAGTTATCATAAGCCGAGGAGCTCCAGCTTCATTGGTCATTGCTGGAGGCGGGGGAGGAGGAATGCTATTCAAAATCTCTTCTAAACTTCTATTATCAAGCTCCTCACTTGCAGTCTCTAAGTCAGTGAAAGGAAAGGAAAAGGAAGGCAAACGGGGGAAAAGCCTACATTAGTGCAATTAGTTCGGAGAACTAATGACTGCCCGTCTTTAAAAGTAGGGGATGGAGGGATGTTATTTATGAAACTTAGGAGTCTGTATTTTCCACTTAAATATGTTATTATCTTAAACTCATGGGGGCGACTAAACCTTCAGCTTGATTTTATTAAAAAAGAAATTCTTGAAAGAAATGCCACCAGTCACAAAATTCTATATACCTATACCTAATCTTAAGAGTCAAAACACTACATCATAGAGCTAATCTGGGAAAACCATAACAAGCTATTTCCTGCTGTCTATCCTAAACAGGAGGTTAAATCCTAAGGCTCTAGATCCAATTATCCGTACCGCTGAGCACCTCGAACCTTCATTCTGGAAACTCATGAACTTCAGCGACACTGCCACGAGAGTTTAATAATGTCACCCAACTCCTGGACTCACAAAAGCTACAGTGGTTTCAAATAAATTACCGTCTTTTCTTTAAAGGCAATCTAAGACCACGGAGGTGAGGTTAGGGTCAAGAAACTTTTCATCATGCTCACAGTCATATTGATTGTCTCTGGGAAAAAAATCCACTTGCTCTTGATTGACCGTCTCGATTTTAGCGGAAATACAATAAAGACGTCTGTACCATTCCACAGGTCACAAACAAAAATTCACAACTGAACCCGTTTGCTCGCCCCCATCCCTTCCAGCGCCGTTACACCAAAATTGCACGGGAGTCTTATCTCAAAGTTGCCAAACGGCTCTCCTAAGCCTCTACGGGACCGACACCGGATCTTCAGACTTCAACCCCGCAGCCTCTAGCCCGCGCTCAACAACCCCAGCCAGCCTCGGGCTGGGCGCGCGTTCCTGAGGAGTCGCGGCGGGTCACTCACCTGCGGCGGTGGCTGGGCTCTCCGCGCGGCCGGACGGCGGCTCAGGCTCCGCGTCGCTGCTGGCGCCGTCAGGGGACGGCGGCGGCCCTTCCTCTCTGCGCCGGGCAGTGGAGGGCTGGGTGCCTTTACGGGGCATGGTTGCTGGGGCCGAGGGAGAGCCGGGAGCAAGTGAGCCCACGGGCTGCTACACCGCGCCCGCCCCACCCGGGGAAACCTCGGTCCACCGGCTTCCATGAGCCCCGCTTAACACCCCGCTTAGAGGCAGTGGGAGTTCGGGCAGGGAGCCATCGAAAGACACTAGTGGTAAGAAGGCAGGACTGGTTTCTTAACAAGACCTATGTAAGTGAGAAAAACTAGAGGTGCCTGAGGATCAATCAAGGACTGAGCAACTGCTTATTTATTTTTTTAAAAGCCCTCCACCCGTCCGCCCATAGTATAAGCGTGTAATACTCGCTAACGCATTTCTAACGGAGGAACTCCCATACGCCGGCATTTCCGGACATTCCCACGCTCTCGGCGCCAGGGATGCAAGCGCACCGACAGGGAGAAACGAGTTCGTGTCAGGGTCAGGATCCCGCGGCTAGCAACTCTCTCTAGAACGGTGAGGACTTCACTGGCGACTCGCCGCCCGCTTTCGTCTGCCCGCCTTTTAGCTCCCGGTGCCGTTGACGGCCCGAAGCATAACGAGGTCTCCCTCCTCTCCGCGATCCGACCGCTAAGGGCGAAGGCTGGAACCAACCACTAACAACTTCAAGTCGGACGCTGGCAGCGCTTGCTAATTTTGGGGTGGCAAGAGTTTGTCTCTCCAGCTCCCCGGGCGGAGTCCCGTTGGACAGTAAACCATGAAAGGTCACCAGCGAAGGCTGAGACCCGGTGACTAGTCCCTTGGCAGAAGAGAGAGGGGTAGGGGGAGACGCCCTTTCCCAGATAGAGACCAGGATTTTTTAAAGAAGAGATCTGCGAGGCTCGGGGCCTCCCCAAGACGTCTGAGTAGCTTGGAAAAGTGGCGCCCGGGAGTTGCGCGCGGGAGCCCGGGCCGCCGGGGAGCGGCCGAGGGGGGAGGGGTGACAGCAAGAGAAATCTCCCAGCGGCAGCCTCAGCCCGGACTTCGTCGCTCCGGCTCAAGGCCTCTATTTTCCAGGCGCTCGCGGACAAGGCAGGAAGTAAGAGCGTGACAACCTGACCAGGAAGAGAAGTACTTTACCTGCGAGACAGTCCGCTCAGACCAAAGCTGGAAACGGTTGTGTAGTATCCACCTCTCTGCTCCTACCGGTGTTTCGGCTCCGGGTCCTTCACTCGAAAATGGCGCCTAAAATACAAACTCGAACGGAAATTCGTTACAAATGCGCGCAATGATTTCTGGGATCCACTAATTTGAAAAAAAGTGCGGCGATTACCACCGCCATCTTATGGTCGCTCCTGCGCATGCGCGAGCTCCTGGCGTGACCTACGCGGTAGAAGTTTCTACTAAGTGAAAAGGAAGAGCGAGGGATTGTTTTCTCTGTGGTCTACAACAGCAGCACTGTTATTAAAAATATTTGGAAAAACAACCTGGCAAGTTTTGAAAAATAGCTTTTTGAAAAGGTTAGGGTTCCGCTCACAGCGGGAGGCGGGGCTCAGTGGTCCAGAAACGCCTCTTCAGAAGAGGGCGGGCTCAGCGAGAGGCGGGGTTTCTGGCCCACTCGGATGACGTACCGCGTAAAAGTATCGCGGGAAGAGGAAGGGAGCGTAACTCTAAGAAGTCACTATGGTGACGGGGAGGTCGGGAGGCTTCTTGGTAACTGGTACCAGGTATTTCAGAGCAATCGCCACCGCTTTCCTGGAACTTGAGGTAAATCTCTTCACCTCTGGACCTGGTGGGAAAAGGGTTTGGAAGTTGTAGGCGTCACTGGATCCCATCTTTCTTGTTTTGAAGGTGTGTGCTTCGTGAAGCATCATTTTCTGTCTTCCTGGCGGCAGCGAGGCTCTGGGTGTAGCTTTTGGGATGAGAAGGAGGAGGCCCTGAATTTGAAGGGAGTAGAGAGACAACTAGAAGAAGACCTGGATTAGTGATAGCTTAGTCCACATGTGAATAGCTCAATAACGATTTTCGAGTTACTGGTTTTTAGATCATTGTTGTTACTAGTGAAAGGTTTCGGTCTTTTAAAATAGTTTGACTAAAAGGCTCTTTAATGGAAAAAACGACTCGCCAGTGTTCTGGTTATTTTTATGAGGAAATTATCGATGAGCAAATATTCCCTAAGTAGCTTTTGTATACATTGCACTGGATAAGACATAATTAGGATTAGTAAGCAAGTTTGGCAATTCCTGTTCCCCGAGAACAGGAATTTTAGTTTTAGTGGGTTTTTAACCTGAGGTCTGTGGATCTGGTGGTAGGTGATTGGGTTTCACAGTTCATAACTCGCCTAACATTGTATACATAATTCTATGTGCATTTTTTTGGGAAGTTAGTTTTCCTACAGCTTTAATCAGAATCTCATACTTGCTCCTAATTCCCTGCATTGTTAAAGAGCCACCATCTCATTTGACTATCTCCAGTATTCATGCAACAACTCTTAAGTACTTGACATTGAGAACTACTAGCCTCTTTTTTTTTTTCTTCAACTTTTGCTTACTTAGGGTCTGGCATGTTAAAGCACCAAAAAATCTGCCTTCCAGATGAATTTACATGATCACTCTAAATATATTATGGTTCTTCTCTCGAAGAGCATTAAGTCAGGTTCAGTGATTCTCAAAAAGGCGTGGAGAGCTATGGCCCTCCCAACCAATTGTAAGAATTTGGTGAGGTTGGGAGGCTGGTGTGTTTTAAATAAGCATAGACTCAATATCGTGATATATCTTTATGTTTGAAGTTAAAAACTATTGTTTTCATAAACTATAGAAATAAAGCTTAATGAAAAAAAGTTTTTTGACTGGTAAGCATACCAAGAAGATATAAGGATTATCTTTGAGAGCTTCTGGAATTTTTGCATTTCCAAAGGTTGTAAAACACTACAAAACCTGAGTTGGAGAGGTATCAACTATGCGGATCACCTGAGGTTGGGAGTTCGAGACCAGCCTGACCAACATGGAGAAACCCCGTCTCTACTAAAAATAAAAAATTAGCTGGACACGATGGAGCATGCCTGTAATCCCAGCTACTAGGGAGGCTGAGGCAGGAGAATCGCTTGAATCCGGGAAGTGGAGGTTGCGGTGAGCCGAGATAGCGCTTTTGCACTCTAGCCTGGGCAACAAAAGCGAAACAGCGTCTCGAAAAAAAAAAAAAGTATAGATCAAATTGAGTGGTGTATTTGGGGGAACAGAGCACATTGTAGTGGAAAGATGTAATATAGAAAACAGAATCGTAAGTTCCGTCATTTTTTAGGTATATGCTTGACAGTTTCCTCCTTTTGTCAATCTTGAGAGTATTTATTTATGAAACTAGCATATAATACCTGTCTCATCATACTGTTTATGATTGTTCATCTAGCACATATTCCATAAGGATTTGATTTTGCTGTGTTTATGACACTGAACTTATTAAAGTATGCTAAGGACGAATACTGGGATATCAAGTTAGAGGAAGGGTAGTTTCTGAAGGATCTTGAAAACCAAGTCAAGGATGTTAGATACGATATGGAGGAAACGGCTTTTAGAACAATTCTGAGCCAAGGAATGACTTGGTAAATATAGGAAGAATAATTAACAGTAGTTATGTGGGATGTGTTAATGGGGAAAGAAAATGAGATCAGTCTAGGCTTTCGTTAAGATTGTTACTATATAACAATAAGTGAGAAGTGCCTACACAGTAGGATGGAAAAAAATCTGGAGTCATTTTGGGGGAAAAATCTATAGCTTTTGTAAATTGTCATGGTTCAGAGTGTAAACCCTTGAAGTCAGTCATGTACTATTCTTTGTGTATCCTTGAATTAGTGATAAGGTATAGGAAGAACGATAAGTCACAGAAACATAGTTTTGATAAATTGACCGATGGCCTTAAATTTAATTGAACCTAACTATTGCCCACTCAGAAATTTTGAAAAGGGGCATAAACCAGGTTGTATAATGAGAAAACATAACAAACAGCTACAGAGTAGACTTAAATCTGGAGATTTATATATACCACAAAAATAAGACATTCAGAATAAGTATAATTTTTGAGACGATATTAGAGTCACAAGAAATAAAGACTTTTGGTTGATTGTTGCCAATATTTTGGATATGTCTCATGAAATTAACAGAGTTTAATTACAAAGAGAAGCTAGCCTACCTGGAAAAGACTGGGTTACAATCATTTTGGAAAGTATTGCTATAACCAGGTCTTATCTTCCTAGTCTAAAATAATCTGCCAGTTATCTCTATTTGCAATTTCAGGCAGTCTTAGAAGGAAAACCTCACTTTTTACATTAGAAAAAAATTATACCCCACAGGAAGAAATACGTTCAAAGAGAAAAATTGGAATTACAGTCTTAATTTTCAATTCTTTAAGTGCAAGGTTTTTTCATCATTTTAATAATACGTGTTTTGTTTGCCTTCTCATGTCATAACATTTCAGAAAGGCTGAAATTAGATTTCTCAGTAAATATTTGAAAAGATTAAGTTTGTAATTGTAAATATTTAGATAAATTAGATATTAACTAATATGATTTTATGTAAGTATTGTATAAATATTTAGATTATATTGTTCAAAATTAATAGATATAGACACAGTGCAGATAGAAGTGAATATTCCTCCTGATAATATAAGCCCCTTGGTATATTAATGTTACAGAAACACACATAACTTATCACCAAAAACCCAGGAAGCTAGAAGGCAGAACAGCTCTTTTTTGGAAATGTTATATTGAAAGATAAGTATGTTTTTATTCTGTAGGTTGGAATTCTGGAAAGATATATTCAACAAGCAGTAGAGGTACAGAGTATGGCTTAAGAGAGAAAATAAAATGGGTAGTGTTATAAGAATAACTGGAACACTAAAATAGGTTAGGTTTTTAAGATTGTAAGTGGAGAGAAGTTAGCACCAGACCAAGGATATTAAGAAAATGTTCATTTTTAGAATGTAAGAAGAAATAATTACAGTAATATCTAGGATAGGACCCTCTTGATTACAAGTGACAGAAAACCCAATACAAATTGTCTTGAGAAAAAACAAATATTGTCTCCTATAACTAAAAAGTCAGGTGACTATAACTGGATTGAGGGTTCAGACAAAGACACAAGGGTTTGGCTTCTTTCCTTGCTTTGAACTCCACTGTGTTGGCAGTATTTTCAGGTTCCGTATGATAGTCTCTAGCACCTTTAGGTTCTCCCCTTGCTGTGGTAAGATAGCTACAGCAATTCCAGCCTCATATCTTCTAAAATTAAAATCCAAGGGGGAATGAGAGTTTCTCTTCCCCAGCATTGATTTGAATAAAAGTCCTGGGCCACCTGTGAAACAGTCTGTGCAAAGGGAATGGAATGCTCTAATTGGCTTAAGTCTGGGCCTCATGCCACATGGGCTAACAGTGAGGAAGTGGTTGTTGCAAAGAGAAATTCTTTTTAGGTAGGAAAAGAATGAATATACATATGCAGGGTGAAAAAACAACTTTCACGGGAAATACTAACATTTATTAAGTACTTACTATGTATAGGGTACTCTACTGGACACTTTACATACTTTATCTCATTTAGTCATTATAACTAATTTGTCAGGTAGGTATTATTAGCCTCATTTTACGTAAGAAAGAAAGCAAAGTATAGTATCTTCATGAAGATAAGCCAGGTGAGAGTTTTAATAAGAAGGGATTCACGTGTGGAGAATGGTGATCTTATAAAAATATCATTTATTAGGGTTTTGTAGAAATGCAGAAATGCATAAAAATTGGGTCATAATCCCTTTCACTCAGATAATCCTATATTAAATATATAAATGGATAGATTAAAAAGTACTGTGAGTATTGTTAAAAACTTCAAACAGAACAGAAGTATATAAAATTAGAATTTAAAGCTTTCCTTCTCATCCCAGTGCCCCTATTCTTTTAGAGGTCTCCATTATTAAGTGTCTTGCATATCTTCCCAGAAAAATGTTTTGGTATCCACCAGCTTAAATATATCTCATTTTTTCTTTTCACAAAAGGAATTGAATTATATAATACAGCTGTATATCTTGCTTTTGTCATTTAACATAGACATCTTTCTGTATCAATATGTACAAGTTCATCTCATTTTTAAAATAGTTTTTTTTTTTTTCTTTTTTGAGATGGAGTCTCACTGTGTCACCCAGGCTGGAGTGTACTGACAATCTCGGCTCACTGCTACCTCCACCTCCCGAGTTCAAGTGCTTCTCTTGCCTCAGCCTCCTGAGTAGCTGGGATTACAGGCGCCTGCCACCACATCCAGCTAATTTTCGTTTTTGTTTGTTTGTTTGTTTTTGTTTTTGTAGAGATGGGGTTTCACTATGTTGGCTAGGCTGGTCTCAAACTCCTGACCTCAAGTGATCCACCCACCTCAGCCTCCCAATATGCTGGGATTACAGGTGTGAGCCACCATGTCCGCCAAAAATAGTGTTAAAACACAACCTTCAACTATATCAGCTATGTGATTTTTTAAAAATGTTAGTGGAATTAAAAGTGTGAATTAAAGGTGACTACATACTTTTAAATTTGTGAATCATATAGTTTAGTGGTTAGAATTTATTAGACCACCCCACAGAAGAATTATAAGTATAGCCAATAAGAATAATACTGAAGTATGGCTATTAATCATAGCTAGAATTTCAAGGAAACGTAAATACCACAGCATTTAGCAAATGCATACAGGAATTGAGATGGGGTGGGAGTTGAAGGTCTTCACTAATTAAACCACGGTTGTCCAACCCACGGCCCGTGGGCCACATGTGACCCAGGACGGCCTTGAATGCAGCCCAACACAAATTTGTAAACTTCCTTAAAACATAATGAGATTTTTTGTGATTTTTTTTTCTTTAGCTCATCAGCTATCATTAATGTTAGTGTATTTTATGTGTGGCCCAAGACAATTCTTCCTCCAATGTGGTCTAGGGAAGCCGAAAGATTGGACACCCCTAATAAAGTAAACTACTGTACTGTTTCCTGTGGTTAAGCCTTTGAGTCTGTGCCTGAAAATGGTCAGCCTGCTTCTCTATCTTTTCTACCATGCAAGAGATCTCAGCTCAAGTCTGCAAGTTCTGTGATGGCACCAATCTGAATAAAAGGCTTGCCTTTCCCCTTTCTCCTTTCTCTATTGGAGAAGAGACACAGGAGTCTGGTCAGAGCTATCAATTTAGGGGACTGTTGATAAAATCTGTACTTCTTTTAATAGGAACTTGGTTAGTAATAAGCCAGCCTGCTGTCTCTATTAACTAGTATGCAAGTGACCCAAAGAAAACTTGGTATAAATATGCTTGTGATCTAGCTCTTAAATTTCTTATCTATCCTTCACATTCTTGTTCACTACTAGAGATATTTCTGCCACTTCTTATCTACAGGTACATTCTTGTTAACAAGTCATGGTCTCCCTGTTTATCACCTAAAATTTTTCTTATTGTTAGTGCTTTTACCTCTTAGTTTTATTTCCTAAATCTAATTCCTTTATTTTCTTTTTTAAAAACCATCTGTTTTACAGTTCAGTGACATTAAGTGTATCCACAGTTGTGCCACTGTCACATGCATTCATTCATCTATCCATCCACAGAACTCTTTTCATCTTGCAGAACTGAAACTGTACTCATTGAACAATAACTCACTATTCTCCGTTCCCCTAGCCCCTGGCAGCCATCATTCTACTTTTTGTTTCTATGAATTTGACTACTTTAGGTACCTTATATAAGTGGAATCATATAGTATTTGTCCTTTTTTACTAGCTTTTTTCAATTAGCATAATGCTTACTTAGGTCTAACTCTTAATTATATTTTCCTGATTTTAACTCTTCCATATTATAAACACATATATCCACACAGGGATGTAAAATCTATAAACATTTAAATTTCTAATTTTTGATAATACTTACAGAGTTCTGTAATGAACAGATTTGAATATACAGTCTCAGACTATGATGGTTTGACATGATTTATATTGACTTTATGACGGTGTGAAAGGGAAGCACTTTTCAGTAGAAACTGTCTTTAAATTTTGAATTTTGATCTTTTTTTGGGCTAGCAATACATGATATGATGCTCTCTTGGGATGCCTGGCAGTGGGCAGCCCGCCACAACTCCCAGTCAACCACATGATCATGGCGTAAACAACTGGTAAGTTATAGTATGCAACTATAGGCTAATGTGAGTGTTCTAAGCATATTTAAGGTAGACTAGACTAAGCTATGATGTTTGGTATGTTACGTGTGTTAAATGTATTTTTGACTTAATGATATTTTCAACTTATGATGGGTTTCTTGGATGTAACCCCTTTGTAAATTGTTGAGGAGCATCTGTATATCTTGGTGTACATTCATATGTGTAGAGTGAATTCCTATGACTAGCAATTATTCCCAGTGTACATTGCTTATATGATACTTTCTTTGCATCAGTAGCTTCTAGTTTAAAATATGGCATAGATCGTAGATTTGGCAGAGCCTTAGTTTTATTAATATTTACCTGTGTTTCAGCTATAAGGAAGTGTAGAGAGGAAATAATTTGTTTTGTATAATGGAAAGAAGGACTCATAAGACATGGAATTCCCCAAACATAGGAAATGCAGCACCAATTGACCTACCCTTCAATAATGTATGGAAGTATCTATTTCTCTGTACTGGCCAACTTGGTTTTGGGTATTTTGCATTTGGCCACTCGGAGAACAGAACAATGTATCTGGTTGTTTTAATTTTCATTTCTATAATTATAATTGAGGCTGGGCATTGCTTCTTGTTTCTGATTGCCCATAACCATCTTTATATTTCTACGAACTATGGATCTGTACATTTTAAAAAATAAAAGGTACCCTATTATCAGTGCCCTTGATCAAATGATTTCTAAGGGGACTGTGCTCTCTTAGTTTTCCTCTGTTTCCATGATATTGCTAATCTATCCCTGTCCACTGGGTCCTTTGCTTCCAAACTTGTTGTTTGCTTCCAAACATGCTAAGGTGTACCCTAATATAAAAGGCCTTCATAGCTATAGCTGTATTTCTTTCCTTTAACCCCTATACTTATATACTTTTTAACACACACACGTATATATATATATACAGCATATTAATACACACACATACTACTACATCTATCTATCTACACTTACAGATCTTTAACTTCTGCACCTATAAGCTGTGCCTACTGGCTTCATATTTTCTCCATTTGTTCATTGGACAAACGTTTACTGAACACTTACTGTAAAGAAGGCATGGTTCTAGTTGCAGGGGATTTTTGGGTGCACAAAACACAAAAATTTCTGCCCTTATGGAGCTTACATCTTAGAAAGGGGCAACAGTAAGTAAAATACATAGTATGACAGACAGACGTAATAGGGTATACAGAGAAGGCTTTACTGAGAAGTGACTTTTGGGCAAAGATATAAAGAAGGAAAGGGGAGTAAGCCATACAGCTCTCAGGGGATAGGGATTCCAGGCAGGATATGGTAAATACAAAGGCCCTGAGGCAGGAGCATGCTTGAAAGAAAAGCATAGATGTCATTGTGGCTGGAGCAGTTTTAGTGAAAGTGGAGAGAAGCAGAAGATATTGTCAGAGAAATAATGGGTATATTACTCAGGGCTCTCTAGAGAAACAGACCAACATGGGGTATATACAGCATACCTCAGAGATACTGCAGGTTGGGTACCCAACCACCACAATAAAGCTAATATTGCAATAAAGTAAGTCCCATGAAGTTTTTGGTTTCCCACTGCATATAAAAGTCATATTTACACCACATGGTAGTCTCTTAAGTGTGCAGTAGTAATATATCTAAGAAAAGAATGTACATAGCTTAATGAAAAACTACTGTATTGCTAAAAAATGCTGATACTCATCTGAGACTTCAGTGAGTCATTAATGTTATTGTTGGCTGAGGATGTTGCCTGGATGTCAATGGCTGCTGACTGATTAGGATGGTGGTTGCTGAAGGTTGGGGTGGCTGTGGCAGTTTCTTAAAATAAAACAACAATAAAGTTTTCTGCCACCAGCTGCATTAGCACCTAACAAGAGAATCAGGATGTCATTTGAAGCTTTGAAGCCAGGCATTAACTTGTCCTTTCTAATTGTGAAAGTCCTAGATGACATCATCTTGACTGTTTCATCTACACTGAAAACCTGTTGTTTAGTGGAACCACCTGATTTCATTAATTATCTTAACTAGATCTAGATAACTTGCTGTAGCATCTAAGTTAGCACTTGCTGCTTCACTTTTTGCCTTCATGTTATGGAGAAGGCTTGTCTCCTTAAATCTCATGAACCAAACCCTGCTAGCTTCAGACTTTTCTTCTTCAGCTTCCTCACTGAGATTTCTCAGCGTTCATAGAATAAAAGAGAATTAGGGCCTTGCTCTGGATTAGGCTTTGGCGTAAGGGAATGTTGTGGCTGCTTTGATCTTCTATTCAGACCACTAAAACTTTCTCTATATGAGCAATAAGGCAGTTTTACTTTCTTATCATTCGTGTTTTCATTGAAGTAGCACTTTCAATTTTTTTCAAGAACTTTCTCTTTGCATTCACAACTTGGCTGTTTGGCACAAGAGACCTAGCTTTTGGCCTCTCTGGGCTTCCAACATGCCTTCCTCACTAAGCTTCATCATTTCTAGCTTTGGATTTAAAGTGATAGACCCTTCTCTTGAATACTTAGAGGCCATTGTGAGGTTATTAATTCACCTAATTTCAATATTGTTGTGTCTCAGAGAATAGGGATGTCTGAGGAGAGGGATGGGGAAACGGCCGGAGGGTGGAGCAGTCAGAACACACACAACATTTATCCGTTAAGTTTGCCGTTTTACATGGTCATGCTTTGCGGTGCCCCAAAGCAATTAAAATAGTAACATCAAAAATCACTGATCACGGATCACTGTGGCTGATATAATAATAATGAAAATGTCTGAAATATTGCAAGAATTACCAAAATGTGATACAGAGACAGAAAGTGAGCACATGCTGTTGGAAAAATGGTTGATAGACTTGCCCAAGGCAAGGTTACCACAAACCTTCAATTTGTTAAAAAAAAAAAGAAAAAAAGAAAAAAATGCAGTATCTCTGAAGTGTAATAAAACACAATAAAATGAGATATACCTGTGTCTGTGTATATATGATATATGATATATTATATATAAGATAATATATAAGATATATATTGTATATACATATATTCCCCATATAAAATCATAAATATATAGATCTATCTGTCTGTATATAGAGGGAGAGTTTAGGAGTTGTCTCATGTGATTGTGGGAGCTGACAAGGATAAAATCTGTAGGGCAATGCTGTCCAGCAGGTTGGAAATTCAGATATGAGTTGATGTTGCAGTTTTGAGTCCAAAGGCTGGGAACTCAGAATTTCTGTGTTGTAGTCTGGAGGCAGAATTCCTTTTTTGTGGGGGAAACCTTGGTCTTTGTTCTTAAGGCCTTCAGCTGATTGAATGAAGCCTACCTACATTATGCAGGGTAATATGCCTTATTTAAAGTTAACTGGTTGAAAATGTTATACTCACCTGTAAAAAAATACCTTTACAATAGTGTTCGCCCAAACGACTGTGCACCATAATCTAGCCAAGTCGTCACATAAAATTAACCATCACAATGGAAATCCAGATTAATAAGGGCCTTGGACAACATTGTCAGAACTTTGTTTTCACTCTGGGTGAGATAGGAAGCCACTGAAGAGTGTTCAGCAGAAAAGTACCATGGTTTATTTAATCTAATTTATTTTTTTTAGAGACAGGGTCTCACTGTGTTGGCCAGGCAGGAGCTTAGCAGCGTGGACATAGCTCAATGTAACTTTAAGCTCCTGTGCTCAAGCAGTCCAACTGCTTCAGCATTCCCAAGTGGCTAGGACTACTGACATTCACCACCATGCCTGGCTAATTTTTTATTTTTTTGTAAAGAAGGGGTCTCACTATGTTGCCCAGGCTGGTCTTGAACTCCTGGCCTCAAGCAGTCTTCCTGCCTTGGTCTCCTAAAGTGCTGTGATCGCAGGCATGAGACATTCTACCTG